AAGTTTGCATTGGCATGTACGTTAATTCTGTAGCTTCTGGTTTTCAGACATCCGAGCATCACTGAATTATGGAAGAATCTAAGGCACCACAAGGAAACAATAACCGTGTATTAATGTAGCATTTTTCGGCGTTTTCCTCGGTTTAACAGAAATGTATATTTGTAAGCTTTGGTCATTAGGCAGTTGTAGTTGTCGCGTAAGTGTGCAGTGGTCAGGCTGCTGTGACAAGTAATAACCCCAGGCAAGAGCTTACATAATGTTCTTCAGTAGATTTCAAAAGCATTTGCATCTGTTGCCTTATTTTGTGAAAAGGGGAAGCTCAGCACAGAGGAGTCAAGCAGCTGGATTGGGTCACCTAACAAGCTGGTGACGGAGCCAAAACTAGAAATACTGTCTCCCAAATCCCAGTCCCCCGTTCTTTCCCCTGTGTCTGTTGCTCCTAAATCCCTTCTCTCTCTCCCCTGTACATTTGATTGCAGTGGAATAGGCTAGCAGTTGTTTGAGACGCTTGGAGCCACTGAGTAGGCTTGGGAGAGAAATCGAATGCATCCCAAAATCTTGACTGTTCTGTTAGAGCAGCTTTAAAAATTTGAGAAGCCTTGAGCGTCTCTTCCTTGACCGCTCCTGACAGCAGCAGCACGCCCAGCTCGTCCGCTCCCTGTCCTGCAAAGCTGGTCGAGTTGTGCGCGCCTGTCGGCAAGTACCGCAGTTGTTCCTTGCCGTTTGGTGCCCTCTGTTGTTGTCCACACACATCACAGGCAACAGTTTCTGTGAAGATTGCACGTTTCTTGCCAGTGTAGCCCCCGTTGCACACTCGACCAGTCCTCTCCCCCACACCTTCAGCCAGGTCCTACCCCTGTCCCACTCCAGACTTTTCTGCCCCTACCATTCTGCACTGAGATGTCGCGTGCCTCCGTGTTCAATGTCCGTCTTTTGTCTTTGTCTTTACAAAGGTTTACATCTACACTACTTCATTTCCCCCGCCTCTTCCCCCAATAATCTTGGTTTATAGATGGGGCAAGGAGAGAAGCTCAGGCCTCCCACATGCTCGTTGTCCCATGCTTCCCACTACTCCTTAATTCCTCTCCTCCCTTTCTTTTCATCACTGTTTATCGGTGGCTCTGATCCCCAAAATCCTTCCCTCTCTTCTCACCCATTTTTCTGCTCCCAGCCCCTCCTCCCCTGCCACAGGGCATTCACCCACGTGTGACTTTTCTCTTTCAAACTAGCGGGGTGCCTTCGAAATTACCTGCTGCACTGTGATAAAGTTCCCCAAGGTGCCCCCTCTCCCTGGATAAATAGGGATTTTAGCACGGTATTTACAGTTCGTTCTCAGATCTTTACCAAGCAGCGTATTGAAACCTATGCTGAACGGCCAAAGCAGGATCCTCTTGGGTCACCTGCATTGTGAAGGCAGGCTAAATGCAAATGCACCTTGCAAATTCTTGGAAGCGTCGCTCTTCACTGAGCCAAGCTCTTTTTCTTGGGATAATGGCTGATCGACTGCGAATAGTGGGGTAGGGAGTTGGATCCACGGTTTGAGCTTCAGGCGTGTGCAAAGAAGGTAAGAGCTAAACTTTATGCAAAGCTGTATGGTGAGCGGGTGGTCAGGCTCTGCCTCAGCCACCACTTGGCCAAAGGGCTCCACATTTGGGTGGGATTTGGGGTGAGGAGGGCAGGGGGGGAGAGAAAGAGCTGGAAGCAGCAGCTGCAGTACAGGAGGATCAGATGTGAAGTGGTTCATTTATTTCAGTGATCTGTCCTCTGCCAAATGGGAACATTGCACAGAAGCGGATACAGCTTCTGTCTATAATATGCTTACTCCTCCATCTGTCTCATTTAGGTCTTCTCATCTCCTCCCCATTGCTGGAGTCCGAGATGGGCACAAGCATGCCTGTTCCCCTGGTCTCAGCACTGCGTGCTCGGTGCATGCTGTCAGCACGGCTCTTCCCAGCTCCTCGCCCAGGAGAGCAGATGCTGCTGAGATGCGAGCTTACATAGCGATTCACAGGGGAATTCAGGCCCCTTCGGAGGGATGCGGTTCTTTTAGATTAGTGTTTTCTCAACCAGAATATATGAAAGGGTCGTGAAAAAAACTTGAAAAATGGATCAACAAACGTTAAAAATGGGTGCTCTTTTGAAGGAGAAAAATGTGGGAAACCATGGCTTTTCCCTTGCAGGCTGGCAGAGTTCTGCTGTGTTCAGATTGCGGTCCTCTAAAATGTCAAGTCCCTTTCCCCTGCCCCTTCTTCACAAAAAAAGAAAGAAAATTTGCCAGGAGTCTCTTTTAGTAGTGTGCCTGGAAATGGGGTTTGAACTGGAGGTGGCTGGGCACAAGGTAGGCTCGGTGGCAACAGGCCGTGTCTCTTGAGCCGCCTACATCCTGTGAATACTGGCTGCCTAGAAAACCGTCTCGACTTGCACACGTATGTGCTTTCTGATCTACGTAGCTGTGTGCATGGGCACTCGCCAAACTTTTATAATACAATTTTCTGTTTTGCCTTCACGTGTTATTGGTGTACACTTGCTGGAGTAGAAATCAGATTAGATTATTCTGGGCACTATAAGAGCAAGGGTTTCAGCTCCAGGGTGTGTAAAAAGTTATGAGAATCTGGGGGGTTTTTTGAAGCTCTGTCTGAAAAACTTGTTTAAAGGGACCAAAACTTGGATGATTAAGCCTACCCTTTATCCTGTGAATCATGTTGAATTTCAAAGGTAGTGCAGGTCAGCATGTCGATTTTAAGGTTTTAGAAAAAGCAGGTCTTTAAATAGAAACGTGTTCCTAAGTTAACTATAAAATAGCTGGTGCTCTGGTTTAAGTGGTAGGGGGGTTGTGCATGTGCACACTTCCACACACAGGATTGCTTTTTTTTTTTTTTTTTTTTTTTTTTTTTTTTAAATGAATCGTCTTGGATTTGCAATATAAATAAAATCCTCAATGACTCCTGCTTCTCCATGTTCTCTGCCCGACTGTGAGAAATTTCCCTGTACATTATTGCTGTGTTTAGCTTTTTGGTGAAGTGGGTGAACATAACCTTGGCCTCTCCCTGTCATTTGCATCAGAGAATTGAGTCACTTCAAATAGAGACTTAACTCTTGTGTGCAAGTATCACACGTGAGATTCAGGCTTTTGAAAAAAATGCAAATTCAAAAAAGAAGCTACGGCAGCATTAAAATATGTTGCAGGAAAGAGAAGTTGTTCCCTTAACATGTGTAATGCCTACCTTTAGTTTCCTAATGTAGCATTTCTGAAGCCCATAATTTAAACTGAGAAGTGGGTAGACAAGAGGTTGATTTTGGTCTAAAAGGACTGGCATGCTTAAGGACGAGTGGCACATTTCCGAGTCGTAGCAGTCTAAAAGCAGGGTGGAGGTGCCTAAAAGCAGGTTAGTTGCTGCTAGTTCTTCGGGAGGTGCCCCGGTTAAAGGGAAGTCAGCAAACTGAAACTTCGGTCTCTCACAAGAACTTTTCCAAATGGGATGCTCTTCTAGCGTTTGGGATTTGAACAAAGGGAAATAAAGCAAGGCTGAGTGATTTGCGGTAGGCACAAAGAAATCCGGGTTCGACAGATTCTGACCCGTTTCTCTGCGCTTCAGATGCAGAACGAAAAGCTCAATTGTCCAACGTGGACGGCGTGCTTTAGCGGGCTTAGAAGCACACAACCAGACACGGTTGCTACTTCAGAGCTCGTAATCTGCATAAACGGGCAATATAAGATTTAATTCTGATCTAGAGGGCAGTGCTGTGCATTTTTCCACCTCCCGATTCCATTTCAAGCCTGAAGTCAGCATGGCTTTGTGCGAGATCTCATTAAAAGGTGTTCTTCTATGTGGTATAATGTGTTTCTGTCAGTATGCTGAAATGACTTGGTTGCTGTGCAGTTCATCCTTTTAATAAATCAGCTGTTGAGAGTACAGTAATGAATGCTTTGATGTCTACTGGGTTGCATAAGCCATCCCTGGCTCACCTCGCATGGTTCAGACGTGGGTGGCTGGCTGGCTGGCTCAGCGGCTCACACCCCTCCGGTGCTCTGGGCAGAAGGGTAGAGAGAAAATCTAGTCCCTCTGCAGCAGGCGATAAGCTTCCCTTCATAGTGTGCATGGAAGTGGGTGATTTGGGAAGGTTTTACTTCATTACAGGTAGCAGCCATTGGTACGTGAACACTGTTGTCACTGTTTGCGGGATGTTTTTTCTGGGTTTTATCGCCTGGGCAGAGTATTTAAGCTCTCATTAAAACTTTTCTGTTAATTCTGTCTTATTACTGTGACCCATTGAACAGCCGATGCTGTATTTGTTTTGAGCTTGTGGGCTAGAATTGCCCACCGTTACCTCGGCCCTTTGATTTTTCATGAGGATCCCAGGGAAATAGTAAATGTGTTGGAATCCCTCGCTGCTGTAGCATCCAAAGACCCCAGTCAGGGTCAGGGCCTTATTATGCCAGGGCCTGTGACCATGTAGGAGAGTTTTCTTGTGTTGGGTCAAGGGGCATCTCCATGCTTGCCTGGCCCTGCTCAAAGGGACCAAGTGGCAGCAGCAATTAAGAAGTATCCTAACAGCATCAGAGGCAAATCATGTGGGGTGATTAGCCTTTCCTGCTCCCCTTGTATGTTATTAGATGGAGGGGAAGGGCCTTGATATTTGGCTGGATCTCAGAGCGTTATAAGAATTGTTTCTATGCAGTTTTGGAATCCCCTTTTCCTCATTTGTGCCCGTTCGTGTTGCCACACGCCGCTAAGAGCATTTTGTAGTCAGCACAGCACCCTGAGATCTGGTGAACGGGGAGGGGAGTGTTTGTAGTAGTGTTGACAGCGGTTGCACATTTTTATGTGACGACTAGGTGAAAATATCTTGTGTTGATGCATATGTTTTGGTTTTCTGTAGGTGGACTAAAAACACAATTCTAGCAACTGCTTTATCATGTTCAGCTACTCGTGCTACCTTGTGCTGTTTTCCTTCCGTAATCCATATCCAAAATGGAAAGTATATTGTACTGATACGTGTCTGTTTTTCCTTTGTAGTGTTTAGTTCCTGTATTCCACCACTCTTTGATGGAAGAGGACTATAATCCAAAAGTGAGCTCTTCAACATAGAACAAGAAGCTCTTGTTGGATAACTCTCTTCCTCCTCTTGCAGCAGCAGCACCCAGAAGAAAAGCTTGAGAAGAGAGAAGATTACTTTTGGACCTGGCACCTTCCTGTTAATTTTACTTCTAGTTCAGCATGTAAATGGTGAACCAGCAGAGAGCCAAACAGTTGTGACCGCCTATGAGCTTCCCATCAATAGCATTTAGTTTCTTTGAGTGGAAACTAACAGTTCCATGAAGTGCAGAATATATCAAAAAATCATTTATTTTTAAGAACATTAACACCGTGAATTTTTTTAGAAACTGTATGTGTGATGAAAACGAAGCTTATATTTTAAGAGCATTTGGCCAGATGTTTCCCACTTAATCTCAGAATTTGGGGGAAAGATTTTTCTATAACGTTGTTTCCCCTGCCTGCCCCCGCCTCCCCCCCATGCTTTAACTGCTCTGCTTCAAACAATGAATAATTCAGCAGACTTGGGTGGATCTGCTCAGTATTAACCATGGTGTTGCTCTAAATGTTGTTGTGCAAACCTGACACACACGCTTCTGTAATGTAAAAATCTCGAGTTCCATAGCACCACAACCAGAGGAAATTTAATGAGGTGAACGTGGTCGTGACTCTTTTTTTTTATGTAAATTACCTTTTTAGGTATTTTTTTTCGTAGTGTGAGTGTAGACACATATTAAGATGAGTAGCTGAGGGGGTGAACAGTGCAGTCAGCACGCAGTGCGGCTTCTCGTGCGCTGCTTCGAGACGCACTGTTGCTTCAAGATTGGCATAACTGCATCCTGGAGAAGGAAGGGACTTGAAGACCAGAGTGAAAGACAGAAAAAAACAAGAGAATTGGACTGCAGAGGCCAGACTCTTGGGTAAGTGATCGCTCATCCCTTTCCTTTCAAATGGACTTGGGTAATGCAGATCGTTAAGGGGATGTGAAGCAAAAGGAAAGTGAGGGAACCTTGAGAACCTCCATGAAATGTAATTCAGAAGAAACAGGGGAATGATGCCTGTTAGTGTAATGTACAGCGAGCGTTGTGCCAGGCATCATTACAAAGGTAACTTTTCCTTGCTTCAGAGTATTCAGATCCTCAGCTCCATGTCAGCTGGTCCCTAGTGTTGGTGACAGTTCAATTATAGGTGTTGCTTTGTCTTCTCTCCAACTTGGATCCTGTTCTTGGGGCATTTTAAACTCTCTCTATGGAGATAGCGTGGTAGATACTGTAGTTGGGGGATGTCTAGCGCTTTGGGGGCCTTAAGACCGTCTTAAAATGAGGGGGGGTTGTTAGATACGAATTCTCCTACAGGACTAATCTGTACGTAACTAGTGCACTTTTGGGCAGCTCAGTGGTTTTGATATGATTACTCACTTGGTAAAGCAAATCGCAAGCAATACGGGGCTGAACCTTGTACAAGGAGGAGCAGATCCACAAATTAGCATGTGTGCAGTTTTGCATACATGTTTATACAACACATGTTTTGTTTCCTTGGCATTTGTTCAGTAGCCTTTCTACCTGCCTATCCTTCCCCTCAGGAGCGTTATGGGAGCCTTGTTAGCTGCTGCTGTAAACAGGAAATAATTGGAAGTTTTAAGGGCCTTGATTATTCTGGCTGGGGAAACGGTGTTGGCAGCTTTCTAGTAAAAGTAGCTTTAAAGAGGGATACTGACACATTTCTTCTGTTCACCATAGCCAGGGCCATAGCTGGTGGTATTGTGCAATTATTCCAAATCGGGGGAAGTCTGACAGATTTGATGGCCGGGTCAATGTTCTTCTTTCCACTTGTAGATCCTGGCCATGAGGTTTGATGCCTCACTTTATTGAAGGGAGACACTGGACCTAAATGGCGCAGCATGACTTTGTTCCTGCCTGGCTTAACTTCTCAACGCCACAGTCAACCAAGGTAACTTGCTGTTCAGAGCACTGGAAACCTAATACTTACTGTACGTGGCCAAGGCAAGCTGGGCCCAACATCCTACCTGACTGAACATGGCTGCCTTTCTGGTTTAGAGTATTCTTCAATCCTCGTGTGTAGCCTTTTTAAGGAAGCTAATGCAAAATCTGTTCTTCTACCTTTTTTCAGCAAATTATGCTCCCTACCTTGGAGAGAGAGTTACCTTTTTTTTTTTTCTTTTTCTTATTTTTTACTTCCTTGCACAATTATTGTGTTAATTTTATCTGCCCAGGTTTGGTAGACACGGGGAATTTATATAAAGAGGTACCTCAAAACTTGGCTTGCAGTGTACAAATTTGAGTGTAATTTTTAGCGTTTCCTGTTTTGGACTTTTCAAAATGTGGTATTGTTAAGCAGCTCACCAGTAATGGGACATTCATTTCCATCTTAGAATCCTGTACCTTCATTAGGGTGGTTTTTCATGTGGAATCTCACCAGGAAGGGGTTGGGTTGTGATGCCTTGCTTGCTGCTAACAGGATCTGAAGGGAAGATCACGCTTGCCCCTAAAGGTCTGAGTCTGTTTGGGACCTCGGATGGGCGCTTGCATTGCTTGTGCATGAGAGTAGCTGTGCAGAGAATCTTTGCGAGAGTGAATGAGGTTGCTAAAGAGCAAAGGAATCAGGAATGAAACTGCTTTCATCTTCACATTTCAACTAAAGTGGGCAAAAATAACTTCCAAACGTGCAATACATTGATGTGGCTCTTCTCTTAGAGTAGGGAATGGTAGGGAAATGCTTTGGAACTTGGAACAGATGATTCATGCTGAAAGCTTGTAACTTCTGTAGCCTCCGCGCTGTCTGAACCCAGGATCCCTTTACCATCTCATGTGAAGTATCTTTAATTTCTAGGCAGTTTCTGAGTGGGCCTTGCACAACTCCAGTTTTGTTCCTCCATCAACATTGGTGGTTTTTAGAGATTGAGCACTTCTGTGGGATTAGTAACATGCAGTGCATTGTTGTAAAATTCCTTAAATGGACTCTGATGAAAGCATTGCATGTGTTTTGCAGAAATTGTGCAAGGAAAGCTGCTATAAGAGCCTCCCTCTTTTTTTGGTGAGGTGATAATTTACAGCCACGTGCAAGTTTGTGGCACTCATATGAATATTCCTACATTTGTCATTTTAGCAACTGTTGTTCTAATTACTAGAAACTAATGCAGAGGTGTCTCTTTAGATTAGCAGGGTTATTTTACTGGTAACAGATTCCTAGGGTGACCTAGAGAGTGCTTATTCATTTAATCCTTTTTCTTTTTGTTTTTCTTTTTTTTTTAACTTTCTGTAGTCCCCTGCAGCCACCTTTGAGAAACATGGAGAGCATCTTCCCCGGGGAGAGAGCCGCTTTGGCGTGAGCCGCAGACGACACAACTCCTCTGATGGATTTTTCAATAATGGGCCTCTCAGAACTGCGGGAGGTAAGGGATCCGTGTGCTCTATAATAGTGGTGCCCAGCATTTTTCCCAGACAGGCTGGATGGACAGTGCCTGGACTAATCATGGGCCCGGCACGGATGTGGTACAGCACAGCACGGGGGCCACCTTCCAGCCACACGGGGGGGGCAGGGGCAGCCTGGCCTGATGCTGGCCCTGCAAGGGGAGAACGGGAGCTTCATCCAGCCCCATGGGAGGTGTGGGGCGGAGGCTGTTCTTCACGCTTTTTGGATTTTTGCTGGCAGCATTGATCTCTTTAATCCCTTCATTTAGATTGCTGGCATCAGCCCTCCCTGCTCCGCCATGACTCTGTAGATTCTGGGGTTTCTAAAGGAGCTCATGTTGGGCTATCCGGCAGTCAGCCTGGCTGGCATGGCCCTTCGCGGGGTCATGATGGTATGAACCAGCGTGGTGGAGGAGGAAGTGGAGCCCATCGCCACTGGAATGGCAACTTCCACTCTCGGAAAAGTTCTGCCTTTCAAGAGAAGCTGCCTGCTGAAGCCAGGGAAGAGAAGAAGGAAGAGAAGGAGAAGTTGCAGTTTGAAGAAGAAGACTTTGTAAGTTGTGGCTCCTCATTAAAGGTGTCACCCGTGAGAAATAGCTTTCCAGGGCTTATTTTGGTACCGTCAATAGGTGACAGGGGTCTGCCGTTTCATTCTTTTCCGTGCTTTCTGGGATCATTCTAGTTTTTATTGGAATGATCCTGAAGGCAGTGCTTTAGGGGCTTTTAAATGTTTTCCCAAATCCCTGAGGAGTTCTTGACATTGAATTGTGGGTTGGACATTGTCATCATATTTTTATCAGATTGATGTTGTATACTGAAGACAGTATTGTGATATGCAAGCCTCTCCCATCAGCCAGACCCCAAAAGGGTGATAATAAGGACGTATCACACATAGGTATGCTTGTATCCGAGGCAAATACGGCTTTTTTTGGCACCGTAATCTGCTAAAAGTGCCATGATATCTCCCACAAGGTTTTAGTTTAAAGGCCGCTTCTGGGGTACTTTGTGAGTGCCTGGGAATTTTTTTTTAAACTAAGGTTGTTATTTATGGTAAGATCCAATATAATTTTCCTCCAGTTTTTAAAGTAGGAATGTTAGCTTTGTCAGAAGCTAATGAGTAGAAGCTTCACTTATAATAATCATAGTGGCTAATACATAAAATTGCATCAGAATGAGGAGAAAATTCATTTGGTTTTGAATGTTCAATCATCTGTTTCAAAAAATAGCAAGACATGGTAGTAGCTAAATTAGCCAGGGGTCTTTTATCAATGGGTACTTTTTCTTTTTTCGGGGGAGGGGGAGTGTTGGGGGGGTCAGATTTGTTTTCCTCCCCTAACTTGGACAAATCCATAATCATTATAGTAAGTTAGACTGTGAACCAAAATCAAAAGTCAGGTTAGAACGAACATGCCCTACTGTGGTAATATCTGCCTAAAATATGAACTCTTGAAATGCTGTCAGAATTTGAACAACGCTTATGCAGCTTTCCTTTCTTGTCTGCATAAATGCTTATATTCATTTTCTCCATCAAATTCAAGGTTATACGTTCTTGATATTGTTATCATATCGGTGCAGTGATAGATGTCTATCGTATATAAAATATGTGGGGCACTGAGTGTGCGACTGGTATGAGGAATTGGACTCGAAGCAGTGCGTGCACTAACAATACACCCCTGCAGTGCCTGGAGCTGCAGATAAATATTTATTTAATTCTGGGTAATATCTTAAATGTTTAGTAAAAATACTTTAAAACAGGACCTCTGGTTTGTTGACTTTAGTTTCTTCCCAACACAGTACATGTGTCTTTGATATGCAGTCTTTTAATGTTTCCAACTGTGGATTTTTTTTTAACAGCCATCTTTGAATCCAGAAGCTGGGAAACAGAATAACCAGAGCAAACCTTTAGGGACACCTTCTGGAGTGTGGGGTAAGTGAGGCATTTATATTACTATATAGAAAACAGATGCTCTCTGGTAGAGCAGAAAAATAGATTCAAGATCCAGGTTCTGTTCTTTTTTGCAAATTTGATTCAGATATTCATCATCTTTCCTCAATATAATAGCAAGATCAGCTGCTACTGAAAAAGGTTGAATCATTTAACTGTTTACCTTGCTATAGTTTTTCACAATTTACTGGTATTGAGAACTTGTGTTGCCTGTGCCAGGTGGCAAATGATTAGATAGTAAAGTATGATTTTTTTCTCTTATTTCTCTTGCTGTGTTAGTGAATTAACATAAAATGCTTCTCTGGTTCACCCAGTCTCAATCTTGTTAGGTTCAAGGTATCCCTTGGAAAATGCTAGCTCTTAGTTTTCACTCAAAAATAATAGAGCAATTCTTTTCTTGCAGTGAACTCAGAAATACCTCAGCAATTGAGAATGTTTTGACATGGATTCTTATTTGAAACCTCTGAGTTCCTCTTGTGAATCATGTGTAGGTGTTTTGAAACCTAGCAGGGTTAAAATTGCACAGTATCCTCTGGCACCCATAAAAGGATCTTGCAGCACCCTGGTTGAGATTCACTGCTCTAATCACGCAGAACAAATACTAGTACGTATGTCCATACCCTCCCTGAGTCCAGGAGGCTATTAATTGTTATTATCTCAAGCATTATCTTTTTTTGCTAAATCAAGAGGGGCTCCCATGGGTTGATTCAAGTGGAGAAAATACCAGACCTTTCTGTTTTTCTTCAATACAGTAATCTCTTTGCTTGAAAACCAGCACCAGACTTGCCAATAGCAGCACCAGCAGAGGACTCTCACAGCATCTTTGATTCTGAAAGGGGGATTTGAAGTGGAGAGAGAACAAAGTATTATCAAATTCCTGAGGTTTCTTTCTTTTTTTTTCTGAGGTTTTTCTCCCTTTGTGCTTTTATAGAAAACCCTCCTAGTGCCAAGCAACCTACCAAGATGCTGGTCATCAAAAAGGTTTCTAAAGAGGATCCTGCTGCCGCCTTCTCAGCTGCATTTACATCACCTGTTCCACATCTGGCAAATGGCAACAAGACTACCACCATTGTCCCAAGTGTCTACAAAAATCTAGTTCCTAAACCTGCAGCTCCTCCTTCCAAGGTACAGGAGCTTTCCGTTGGGTTAGCACACTGCACGTGGAGTGAGCATTTTGTGGAAATAGCCAACAAATAAAGGAAGAAAGAAATGTAAATAGCAAGTCAGAGCTAATGCATTTGCATGGGAGCTTTAGGGTTAAGACCTGTCTATTGCTAAAACTATCAGTGTATTGCATTGTAACTTAACACTCTCCTGTAACAATACATTTTGGTTTTATCCTCAGACAAGATTAAACCTTGTTAATGTCTGTTGGATTTAGGGGGTCCAGAAATTCACCTAAATTAGACAAGACAGATAAAGGGTGCCAGAAGGCAAGTGAACTAATAACAGGGATTAGGCTGTTCACATGACTACCTTAAAAGATTGTAACATGATTCATCAATATGGTTAAAATAGTTTGGACCCATCCCAAAAGACTAGACTAAATCATGTAACATAATCTTTCAGTGCAGTTTTAGTCTAAATAAGCTTTACAGGTGCCCTACAAAAGACATCTGGGATTTTGCCCGTTAGCTTTATTTTTATTCATCTTTCTTTGTTTTATTTTGGCATTTTCTTTTTGTGACTGTGAGGAATACCTCTTTAACTCAAATGTATGATGATCTAAAATCTTGTCTTCCCAACTGTTCAGTAGCTGTGATTAACAAGGGCTGTCCTAGTAGTGTATGTCCTCAAAGAAACATGCAGTGATTCTGAATGAGGGCTGGCTTTAGTGTTTTATCCTATAATAAAGAAAAACCTGAAAAAAACCCTTTTGGATTTTTGTAATGGGACACATGCACAGTTCTTTCCCACTTTACAGGTTGCCTTTAAAGTTCATCCACCCCTCTTTCCTACAAACACCAGAAAAATTCAAAATTATTCTGTAGATTTCTGATTGGTATTTACTGAGCTTCTCATTTGCTGTTTTTATATTCAATTTTTGCAGCTTGTGTAACCTACCTGTGTGCCTGTCATGATAAATGAGGCTATCAAACAGTTGTTGAAGCAGAAGGCCAGAAATCTAGTCTTTTTAATTGTTAGGTTGTATTTCTCCTGTTTGCTTATTGCACATCCCCCAGCAGAGCAGTATTGCGTGAAATCTGAGATCCTGGAGATGGAAAGCTTATTTGGTTACCTATTCTCCTCTGCCAATGTACAATAGTTCCATGCAGAGTAGTCTCCAGAGCACTTTGCTTTGGCTGGGGCTTTCCTCCTGGAAAAGACTATGTCAGTCTAACAGCTTGTCTGGAAGCTTTTCCTAATACTCGGCTTGTTTTCATTGTGCCTTGAAAATGGTATTTTGTACTTGGATTTTCACAGGGTCTTAGAGGAGTTAAGTGCCCACATCCATTGGAAATGAATAACCTAATAAGTCACTGAGGCTTCTTTGAGAATCCCAGGGTTTCCACTAGCGGTGTGTTTTGACCCTGCTAAGATAGTTTGTGGATCAATTGGATGGATCCTCAAGTGCAGACCTAATAGAGCATGTAGTAACATGAAGTCTTTGATTTGAGTACTAAAGTGGCATTGCAGTTTTGGTGCAGAAGGTGGACAACTAAACCTTCGTGCCAAAATACCGATTACAACATGATGTCATTTTTCACTTCTGCTCTCTGTTTCTGTCTTATAATGGCCGCAGTGCATGCTAGCATAGCTGACGTTGAGCCTTACTTGATTTCTCTTGCATGGTATACAGAGAAAGGGTTAATGGGCCAATACTGCACAGCATGCCTTGTTCCTCAAGTATTTGGAATTTGATCTGTGTGTGTTGACAGTGCAAAAAGACCCTGGTCAAGGAGCAGATAACCAAAGAATGTTGCCTTTAGTTCTTAAGCTAAATTTGGCTCTTAGGGGCTGCCGTTTTCTAAGACTTCTTCAGTGATTACAAGTTAAATAAATGGACTGCACATATTTTATATGTTAGACAGGAAATGAAAACATCGTTTCTACCCCAGAGAAGCTTATAATCTGCACCAGTTTCCTGACTTGTAGAAAGAGAAAGACTAAGGTAGGAGGGGAGTCTAAAACAGAGGATCAGGTTGATGTAAGGGGGAAAAAAAGTTTCTGGACCCCAGATCAGTTCAACCCTGCCCCCCCCCCACCACTAACTCATTGCAAATGCACCTTTGAAGACATCTTGCTTTTCTGTCCTACTCTTTCTTTGTCTGTCACTTAAATTAGCTGTGGTCAGAGGCTCAGAACGGGTTAAAGGCTTAGGCACCAGCCTGCTTTGCATGAAGTAGAACAGCTGCAACTGGAGAGAGTGAGCACCACACCCCAAAACACCCTAACTACACGGTAGCTAAGGTATACTCTAGTTAGGAAAGTGGGTTCCAGTCTCCTTAAGGCAAAGAAGGGACTTGAACTAGATTCTCTGTATCCTGGATGAGTGACCTAACAAACAGCCCGTTAGCTAAGGGGATGATGTTGATGCCTTGGCCATTACCTGTTCTGTGCATCTGGCCCTTTGTTTCCTTTTGTATTTCTTACAAGTTGCTGAAAATGACTCGTTTCATTTTGAATGAAATGGGATGGAAAGTTTTTAGCATAACAAGGACTGTTTCCTGGTTTTTTTTCCTTTTGGCAAGAAAAAGCATAAGGCAGTGGAATTTGGTCGAAGCTGAAACAAACTTATTAGCTGAGCCCACCTGAGTATAGGTGGGAGGAAGGAGAAGAGCTGGTGAGACTTAACTGAGAAAAAAGATAAATGCCCAAAGGAAAGAAATCACATTGAATGTGTGTGTACCATTCAGGTAGAGCCCTAAGCAGTACCAGACTAAGATAGCACATTTCCTTTGGGCTTGCTCCATCCAGAAGTAGTTTGGTGCATTAGTGCAACTCCCTGTAAGCATCATTGTGCTCTGCCTCAGCTACATGACCTCCCGTCTAGGAGGGAGCTCAGCAGGTCACCTTATGATGCTTCTTGGTGCCATAATTGAGCTGCATGTACTTAAGCCATAGAAACAGTGGCCTCTGCTGTCCTCCTTTGCAAGTACAAAATCCATTTTAGGCTCAGATGTAGCTTCATCCTTTATGCCTCTGGCAGTACGGTATTTACTTGCATACCAAATGCACCGTTTTCCAAAGAATCAGCTCTCCAAATTTGGGGTGCGTGACTTCAGCAGGGGAACTGATTTTTCTAGGCCAGAACAGGTATATGGAGATGCTGTATTCTAATGGCTACCACGTCTCTCGCTGCCAGCAAACAGCAGGGGTGGAGTCCAGTGTAACCCTCTTGCAGCCAGCAAGGAATTGGCTGTAGCTTTTGACTGAGCAGCCAAAAGCTGCTGATTTCTTCGTGGCTGAGGGGGGTTAACGCTATAGCTTGTGCTTGAAGCCGACATTGAGCTGGCTGAGGGCAAGTGAACTGCAACATGCAGTCAGCTATGACGCTGGAAAAGTCTTTTGCTACATCCTGCCTTCCACAAACAAGATGCGTGTATTTGCGGGGAGCATGTTATGCAGGAAAATACAGTATTCTACTTATTTAGTGCTGTATTAAGTCAGAACGTTAAGATTCACTAAAAAGAAGTTGGTAGAAGCAAGAGCCTACTCCATCGTGCGTCTTTCTCGTGATACTTGGTGCCATGCTTCCTGTTTTGAGATCCCTGTTGCATAGTTTGTTCTCGGCTGAGAGACGGTCAAGAAAATAATTTTCCATGCAGCAGATATGTTTTCCAAGGCAGCTTTCTGTAACCGTGGTCATGGCTTTGCCACCAAGCAGGATCAGAGTGAAATTTTCCCCTGCGTAGTTGCATGAGGATTGACATAGAAAATGTGTTGGTGTATGGGCTTCTGTCCCTCAGTAAATTGGATTCCCAGTCTAAGTCTTGAGGCTTCTTTCTAGATTTTTATTATATCTGTTGTCTTCTGTGTCTCACTGAACAAGCAAGGCATAACTGGACTGTTTCATTTCCCCATGTCCTTCCTTTTATTCCTAGCCTACAAACCCTTTGGATTTTCTTCTTCTCAGCCAGGGGAAGTTCCTGTTGAATAATGCAGTCAGTTTGGTGGTGGTGTGCAGCACTGCTCTGTAGGAAATTTGGGTTAATTTAATTATGATCTTGCCTCTGGGTTGGGAGCAGTTTTCGGACACATTTAGTTGGTTCCTAGTACAGTTCCAACCATTTCTCATTCAAAGTATCGCTGTGGGCTGTGTTGGGTGCTGAGAGACAAGAAAGGGGGATCCTCAGGGTCAAACATGAGGAAGTTGAGAGACCTTTTTGGAGTGGGAGGAGAGAATCTGTTCAGTTCATCTGACAACTCGTTAGTCCAATTGGATGTTGCTTTGACTTGTTATATCATTTGTAAGCATCCCACTCTTGTGCTGTACCACTTACTTTTTAGTGTGTTGTGTTCTCTTCCGTATAGCCAAGTCCATGGAAATCTAACCGAAGTGAACATAAACCGGGCTCGCTCTCCTCCAACCGTGACTCTGCCTTTACCAGTCCGGTGTCCGTAACCAAACCAGCGGTACTGGCGAGTGGCTCAGTCCTCACCTCTCCCAAAGAGGTAAGAAGTCGGGTTGGGAATTTCTTCAACTAATGTTTCCTTCTAGAGGCATTCTTGTCTGTACCCAGCTGGGAACGCTGGAAGAGCGCACAGGTGTCATAGGGTCTTTGCACATTGCGCTAAATTCCCTGTCCGTCACTGGAAACACTCATGGACGATGGGCTTACTTGATGTAAGAAGTGCTGCAGCAAGCGTTTGCCCAGATTTACTGGAATTGAACCCGTCATACAAGGTGCATGTACTTCATCTTTTAATAACAGTGTGTATGGTAATTGGGCTTGAACAGAATTAAAGTGAATCAATGAATGTATGTGAAAACTTCCCCTTTGCTACTGGGAGGCAGAACACATTAGCTTTTTGTTAGTTTGTAAAAACCAAGAAGTGAAGCTAATTAGTTGCGTTTTAATGTCCAAACTGAGTAAAGTACAAATAAAAAATCTGCTGGATTTTAATTTTTATTCTTAAAATCAAACACTAATGATTGTGTAGCAGTTTTGGGGTTCTGTACTTGACATTCATCTTCATTGTGTTAACGCCCTTCCTCTGACCATCAGCGTCCTTAAAAGCACCTCAGAATAACTAGTTATTACTTGGCCAAGACTTCTGTCCTTTTAAATGTTCAGTATAATGAATCGGAGGGAAGAAGTTAAACTCTGTTGACAGCGATCCTTGTAATTTTAATAACAAGCAGCTTGATGTCATTCCCCAACTTGAAAGAAATGCCTGGGTATCTACTCAGCAGTAACACAAGTAAGAGAACCTGTCTGGTGCGCATGCTGTCCTTTTAGTCTGCAACTATTTCTTACAGAACAAAGAGAATCTTTTCAAATGAAAGTAATTCCTCTCTGGGAGCCATGATAATAATCTACTGCAGATAGTATTTTAAGTAGGACTTCAATTTTGCTGAAGCAAGCAGATTCAGGGGAGGAGAAGCTGGAAGAAGCTTCTTGCAGAAGGCAACACTGACGAACATGCCAGTCATGTTGACTTTGATTTTGTGGTCTTTCCCTTTTGTTCTCTTTGCCAAAAGACTCGCTTTAAATTGTGTAAGCCCTTTTGGGAGTCGGGAACTTTTTTCCTTGTGTCCATATGAGATCGTTTGAGTGCTGCTACAACACCAGTTACATACATGAAATAAACTTTCATCACCGGATAAGTAGCATAAAACAAAATCAGATAGACATGTGCTTGTTTCCTGATGCAGGTAGTACACTGTACTCTGTCTTGGGTAGCTCTTGTCTGAATTTCTGGGTAGGAAAGACATAAAGGTACTTACCAGGCAGCAGTTGGGGCCGAAAATCTGCATTTTTTTATTTTTTCTTCAGAGACAAGAAATCCTTTTTAGAAAATGTCTGAAAGTTCCTCATTATGTTAAACTTTTTCCAACACAGTCTGCTTGTTAATGATTTTGCAGGAGAAAACAAACAAGTTGAAAGGCACTCCAGCTGCATCATCACTATAACACCAGTATCTGTAATCACTTGAACTGGAAACAGATAGATTGATTTTTGTCCAGGCTAGAATTAATCAGTGCAGAGTTGCAGCTACTCTGCTTCACCTCCCACTATTTAAAGACATGGTCTAAACCCAGGATTGCAACCTGGTAATCTAATTCCAGTCCATCCTGGCACTGACCTAGTAAAAGCAATGCCTGCTTCTGGAAAGAGAGGACTAACGGCCACCTTACAAAGGTGCCGAAGACCCAAGTTATACATCTGTAAAATGTTTTGAAAAGGAAAGGTACCATATGACGTGTTACTGTTTCATACTGGATATTAGGGGAGATGGCTACTAGGTCACCAGCACCTTTCTCTGAATATTGGGGGACGATTACTCCTTATGAGGATGCTTTAGGTGCTTTACCTAATCAGCTTTTAAAACCCTGAGGCATAGGTTTTCCAGTGTTTCCCCTAAGAGCACGTTCTGCAATCCTAGCAGCTCACTTTTAAGTGAGTGGTCATTGTTAAAACTCATTCTTTATTATGACACGCATAGCTTTTGTATGTGCAGTCTCCACGTTTCTAGACCCTGGAGCCCTCAGTAAAAGAAAGATGACTTAATTTCAAATTCAAAATCCTTCTGTAAAGAATTTTGAATATACAAATGTAAGCCCGTGAATTTCCTCCTTTCTCAGATAAGGTAGCCACATTAGTTTCAAGGGTTTGTCTGTTTTTCAGTCGGTGCCTTTTTATGGTTGCCTTTCTCCTCACCCCTTAAAGTTTGTAAAATAGAGTTCTTGGTATGTGAGCATTTCGGAACCATTGTCTTTGAAAAGGCTTCTGTAGACAAGAACACAAGATACTTTATGGACTTGCATTATACATGCTTTCTAATCTACTAGAAATGTCATATTTGCATATTATCTGTGTTTCTGTTCAGTCGCCTTCTGTCACTTGCACAGGTAGATTAATTTAATGCTGAGAGCTTCAAACTCAACGGCACTTCGGTTTTTATTTTATCCTGACATTCCCATACCTGTCAGAAACCGGGGTTTTACAATCAACTGTTTGCTTCTCCTGCTACTGAATTAGACAGGTTTTGAAATGACTGCCTGACACATGTCACTACACAATTTTATTACCATTTATAGTGCACGCTTCTCCAGAAGAGATTTATTTCAGCCTAGCGTTTGTATACAGTGGGAATTAGGAACCAAAGCCAGCATTGACCCTCTTCTTACCTTTGTTTTGTCGAACATTTTTCCCCTGTGTCTGTCTCTGCTTAGAAGGGCTGTGTCCACTGTACTGAGAATGCATTGCAAAGTAAATTTGACATCTTAAGCATATTATCTGTTGGCAACCTTCTCACCCCCACAAGAAGAATCTGAAATGGTCCTGCAAAGCCCCTCCAAATCCTGCAACAAGAAGCTACTTTACGTAATTCTTGTCCGTGTATACTGTAAGAAGAGGGGGATAAGTCAAAGCACGTAGGTGAACGAAAGGGGTTGATTTGTGTATGTGATTCTAAGGTACTCTTTTGACGTTTCCTTCAGTGGAGACTCAAAAAAAAAACCCCCAGGATTTCTCATTGTTCTGGAGTACAGCCAGACTTGAATACCATAGATGAAGACTGGGAGCGATGGGGAAAATTAGGAAGCTGGGAACTTGGTACATATCCTCCAATTTAATTTTGATTGTACATCTCAACTATAAAGATGAAACGGGTCTATTGAAATCAGTCCTGGTTCTCAGAGTTTAAAACCTCTGTAACACTGTACATGAAGGCTAATATGCCAGCTGCTCTACCATCTGGCTGGCTCACATACCACTGAACAACCGGTGTTATACATGCTGCAGAGGATAATGGGACCGCTTTGGTTTCATTAATTTAATTGGGTAGGCTTTTATGAGGTCTGGAGAGCTGTTTAGGTCAGTGGGTATGAAGGGAGAAGTGGGGGGCAGGGGGGGGGGAGTCTGTTCCCCAGAAACTTGTGGGGCTGTGGACTCATCTGCAAATGGGCAAGAGTCATCAATGCATTCC